AATTTCTAATTTTTTGAGAATCATCCATACTGTTTTCCAAAAGGGCTGAACCAGTTGGCATTCCCACCAGCAGTTGAAGGAGAGTCCCTTTGTCCCCACATCCACGCCAATGCCAGTTGCTTTTGTTCTTTTGGGTGTGGGCCAGTCTCTGTGGTGTGAGATGATATCTCATTGTTGTTTTGATCTGCATATCCCTGATGATTAATGATGTAGAGCATTTTCTCATGTGCCTTTTAGCCATTCACATTTCTTCTTTAAGAAAGCTTCTGTTCATTACACCACCCCATTTTTTGATGGAGTTGGATATTTTCTTCTTGTGAAGTTCAACCAGTGCCTTGTATATCCTTGATATCAACTCCTTATCAGATGGGTATTGGGTGAATATCCTTTCCCATATGTAGACTGTCCTTGTATTTTGGTCACATTTCTTTTGAGGTGCAGAGTTTCTTAGTTTAAGATAGTCCCATTTGTTTATCTCTGTTTCCACTTGGTTGGTGAGTGGCATGTCATCTTTGAAGATACTGTTAGCTTCAATATCGTGGAGGATTTTGCAGATCAAGTCTTCAATGTACCTACCTTAAGGATTCTGGTCTGATGTTGAAGTCTTTAATCTATTTTGATCTGACTTTTGTACATGGTGTTAATTAGAGGTCTGAGTCCATTTTTTTTTGCATGTAACTGTCCAGTTTTGCCAGCACCATTTGTTAAAGAGGTTATCCTTGCTCCACTTCCCATTTATTTTAGGAATTCTAAGACTTAACGTTTATTTCTAACTTGTTACTAATTATCTTTGTTGTCATATCACTTCAGAGTCAGTGTAATAACTATGTAACAGTATCACTCTATTTTCTCTCACTATTTTGATCCTAAATATATTATAAATCCTTTAATACATTTTCAGTATTCTTTGGAGACCTACTAAGTAGTGCTGGGAGGGTTAGGTGACCTCTTCCTTCTTCCCTCCCTTTAGTAATCTAGGGCATTATTTTCCCCAACTTTTTCTGTATCTCCTGTTTCTGTTAATTAGAATTCAGTTTTCCGCCTGGCAAGCTACCAAGAGTATCTCTCCCGCACGGCAAAGCCTGGTAAGCTCCCCGTGACGTATTCTATATGCCAAAAACAGTAACAACAAGTCTCACAATTTGTTGGGAGACGTTACTGGTGCCCACTTGAGCAAATTGATGAACAATGGGAGGACAGCGACAGTGACATGACTTTGGTGCAATCTCTAAGCTCTTTGATTTTCAATATTTTTTTTCTCTTTTCTATGACCAGTCTGCTGTTAATACATGATTTCGCATTGTCCACAGAATTCTTTGTTGTGACAATGACAGAATTCTTTGTTGTGACAATTTTCATCTCATGATTGAAATTCTACATTTGTTTATTTTTAAAAATGTTTAATTTTTAAAGATTATTCAAAATTATTCTCAGTCATTACAAAATATGGGTTACCTTGATATCATGTTCTGTTGACTGCGTTATCTATTACTGTAGGTCATTTTTCCTTGCTTTGTGCTGATTTTTAATTTTAATTTAGACAATTTTTTTCCTGTGCAAAAATCTTTATGTTTATCACTATGTATAATGGGTATATATATATACATACTAATATATTGATATATACTGGATATATATGTATATAAATGATCTGACCTATCTACTCTGTGCTTGTATTGTCATATAATTGCTCTGTGCTTCAAAAACTTCACATTTCTTTTTGTTCATTTGGTTGGTTTTTGGGTTATGCCCAATGCTGATCAGAATTTATACTCTTACTCAGGGATTATTCCTGGTGAAACTCAGGCTATGTGGTGCTGGGGATTGAACCTGGGTTGACTGTAGGTAGTACTGTTGCTGTACTATTGCTCTGGCCCCAGTGTCATATTTCTATAATAGACCTGTTACTAGAGTTTATTGAGAGACCAAGGTAGGTGTTAAAGGCTAATCACATTCCTTTCCTGTTCCCATAGGATCTTATTTGGGTGATTGCTCTCAATTAGCCTTGATAAAAGTTACTATTGTTTTATTACTATTTTGTCGTTACTCTTTCATGTTGCTATTTATTGTTACTATTGGCAGATTCTACCTTTTGGCCTTTCTACCTTTTAAATGAAAATGGAACTTAATATATTTTACATATGACCCTTTGCATGAATTTGAGAATTTTGTTCCAAAAAATAAAAAGCTATGTTTACTTGTCACCAATGATGTGTATGCAATAAAAGGGAACATTTTCTTTATTAGGCTCTCCATGTTTCCTTTTGAAGGAGATGATTATCTATTTGATTTTTATCTTCCAGGTAAAAAGTAAAGATGGCAATAATATTAGGCTCTATTTTGACATTTTAGTACTTGAAGTTTTTTCTTTTATCTCTTCAAAGAGACTTATAAGAGATTAATACTTTTTTTTTTTTTTTTTTTTTTTTTTTTTGCTTTTTGGGTCACAGCCGGCGATGCTCAGGGGTTACTCCTGGCTCATGCACTCAGGAGTCACTTCTGGCGGTGCTCAGGGGACCAATATGGGATGCTGGGAATCGAAGCTGGGTTGGCCATGTTGGCTGCGTGCAAGGCAGACGCCCTACCCGCTGTGCTATTGCTCCAGCCCCCACTTTTTTTTTTTGAGGGTGGGAAGTAATTTGGCAATACTCAGGGAACCATGTGGTGCTCAGGGTCAAACCTGGGACTCTGGCATGTAGAACATACACTCCAGCCCGTTAAGTGGACTCCCTTGCCCTAGAAGACAGTTCTGTTCATCCATGTTGAATTCTTAAGAAAACGTTCTCCTCAGATGGTTTGGTCATTTACGTCTCTGAGTGAATCTGACATACATGTATGTGTCTCAGAGCTGCCTGCATTATCTGTCCATTTGGCCAAACTAGATAATGTAGTTTGGAAGGTCCAGATTAGCTAGCACACACTTCTTAAATGTAGAAAGAAGAGGGAAAATACCGAGACAGCATTAGGAGTATTACAGTTTTAAAAAAAATATGGTAAGTATATGTGATATAAAATTAACCATTTTAAATTGTCTTTAAGCCATAGCATAAAGTACATTCACATTGTTAGGCCACCATTGTGATCATCCATCTTCAGGTATTTTTTCTTTTTCTTAGTACTAAAATAGATTTATTTCATGAATTCTTGAGAATGGATTATGAAAGACTTCTGTACAAAACTTAGATGCTTAAGAAAAAGACCTATTGTATAGTTCAGGTAGAGGGGTCTGGGTCCCTCCCACTGCCAGTGTCTAGGTCTGTGTATGATGTTACGCGTCCTTAATGCCAGGTTCAGATTTCTATGTCCTGGTTCTGTCCCTTGCTATCTGCTCCCCTCCAGTGTAGAGTGACTGGTATTGTCCCTACGTAGTTCTCTGTTATGTAGAGACAGAGACAGCAAGCCCTAGCATATGCTTTCCTAGGCTGCAGCTGGAACTCTGTCACCTGTGTCCCTTTGCTGGGGCTTGCTGTCTCTGTCACCTGTTTGGGGGCCTCTGAGGACACTGTACCTCAGTAGCTCACTGTTCACTCAGCTTTCCTTAGTGTCTGACCATGTAGGCATGAGTGAGATCCCTGCTGTCCCTGAGGGGGCCAAGAGAGAGTTCCCTGACTGGGGCCTTCCTTTTACCTGCTGCTATCTCCCACTCCCAGCCTTCCTACCTTTATAGCAAGCAATATTTAAAGTGACCAATTAAATGAACTAGCTCACCTGCATTCCACCCTTCCACTCTGTCATTTTCAAACTGAAACACTATCTATTAAATAGTCGCTCCTGATCACCTCTGTGGCCCCTGCCCTAAAGATTGGTGTTAAAAACGGACAGTGAAATTTTTAAGGAAGTATTGACACATTAAGTGTTGATGCTCAAATTTATCAAGTTAAAAATCTAGGGTTGCTTTTATTTTTCTTTGCTGAATTGCCCTCAGAATTTGAGCAGAGAAGATGGATTACAATTTGGGAAGAGAGCTGCAGATTTTGTTGCATGTTCAATGTGCTTGAAATTTTGGTTGTCATTTTTAGAATACAAATTGCCCTGTAAGCATAACTGTTTCAAGATTATATGGTTGTGATAAAAAATTATATCAAAAATATCTCATATTTATCCTGAATGTTCTATCACTTGGTGAGACTAGACAATATGACATTACCTGCAAATATGTATCCTCTTTGCTGAAATGTGGAAATTTATCATTGGGGCCTCCATCCATGATATACATGTTCATTTCTTCAAAATAATGAAAATTTGTAAAGAGACACATGTAATATTCCATATATAGAACTGGGAACATTGGGCCTCTGATACTCCTCTTTTTTGTATGTGGCATTCAGAACACTTCACTTGTGATTTTACTTGTATGTCTTGTCCTGCTCTTTGTAGGGCCACAAAGAAAGATTTAAAAAATGGTCTGCTTGTGGGTTTGAGAAAAACTCAAATCATGTACTTTTGAACTTTGTTTTTTTATCTCAAAGATTATTTTATTCTGTCGCAGCAATATGTTAAAAATATAAACTATTATATATATATAATTTTGGTTGTGTGGTTAGAGTAATTTCAAGATACCTGAAATTACATTTAATAATAAGAGATACATTTGCCATGGAATGGGAACATCATATATTTAAAAAAAATTAATATCATTTCCTCTGGAACACTCCTTCCTTTGTATATCAAAATTTTTGGATGGCTTTTTTTTTGGGGTGGGGAGGTTTGTCCTGTTTAGTTGGCCATACTGAGTGGTCATCAGGGCTTATTCCTGGCTCTCTGCCCAGGCATCACTCCCATTAGGATTCTGGGGACTATATATGTTGCCGGGGATTGACCTGAGGTGCAGGGCAAGTGCCTTGATCTGCTGTACTCTTCTCAGCCTCTATGTCAGTTAAAACTTATGTGTTAAGGCTTTTTATTTTTTTTTATAAATACAAAGTTTGCATAAAGTTCAGATAACTCAATTGATTATTGATTTCTGTATTTCTAAAAATTTACATGTATTTGTTTTATAGCTACTTGAAGGAAATTTTGCCAAAGAAGTCAGCCATGAAATGGATGGACTTATTTTTCAGCCTATTGGAGTAAGTTTGTTTGTGTGTGTATGTGTGTGTGTATGTATGTGTGTGTGTGTGTGTGTGTGTATTCATGTACGTAGAAAGTACATTTTTCTCATACATTTTGTTTGTTTTTGGGTCACACGAGGTTGGGGATCAGGGCTTACTTCTGGCTCTATGCTCAGGGATTGATTGCTCCTTGCAGGGCTCAGGCGATCATATGGGTGACAGGGGTTAAACCCGGTTGGCCAGTGCAAGGCAGATGCCCTCCTGTTGTACGATCTCTGACCCTTCTTACACCTTTTTATTTTTTTTATTTTTTAAATTTTGCTTTTTGTGTTACACCTGGCGGTGCTCAGCTCTGCACTCAGGAATTGCTCCTGGCAGTTCTCGGGGAACCATATGGGATGCTGGGAATCAAACCCAGTTTGACCGCGTGCAAGGCAAGCACCCTACCCGCTCTCCTATTGTTCCAGTCCTCCTTCTTACACATTTTTATTAGGATTGATTACTGTTGTCATTTTGCCTTTCTTTGAAACTAATTATTCATTGTAAAATAGCTTAATTCTTCTAAAACTTCATTTTGATTTTCACTTTGTCGTAGCGTTTTTCAGCTTCAGCCATTGTTGGTGATATTCAGGGCTCACTCTTGGTCCTATGTTCAGTGATCACTCCTGACTGTTCTCAGGGGATCATATGTGGTGCTAGGGATCAAACCAACGTTGGCCCCATGCAGGATAAGTGCCTTACCCACTGTACAATATCTTTGGCCCCAGTACTTTTGGCAGGTTAGCCAGATGATTCTTCGCTCTGGAAAGCTGTTCTGGGTATGGTGGGATTGTTCAGCACCTTTCTTGGTATCTACTTACGAGATGCCAGTGTTGGTTCTGGCTACCTTCACCCTTTTTGTGAATACCAAAATTTTACATAGCATTACCTAATTTCCCATAGAGAGCAAAACTGTTCCAACTCAAGAAGTGTTGCACTATCCTAGAGTTTCCCAAACTTATCCACTTGCTGCTACCTTTTTTCAGAAAAAGAAAGCCACTTAGTGATTCCCCTGGAAATCTACCATCTTTAAGCAATAAAGAAAGCACCTTTCAATTGCACTACTGATCCTCTGGATTATTTCAGTACCCAGTGTTATCACCCTCTGTGGGAAATACAGTTTTGTAGCATTGCTTTCCCAAAGTGTGCCCTGTATGTGCTACATACACTTCACCAAGGAAGTTATAATTGCTTCTTGCTCCAAACCTACTATATAATCTATCACTTTGTACTTTGATTTGCTGTTCAAGTGATTTTGGTGCGTGTTCTAGTATGAGAATCCCTACTTTATAGGACGAGTTATATTTCACGTACTGCACTTCATCCTTTGCTATAGGTTGTGCTATACAGCATATCAACTTAAATTCGAGTATGAGTTAAGTAGTGGAGTTATAGAATTACCAAACTGGATACCTGAAAAAGGGGAACTAATTTTTGTATACCATAAAATACTATATACATTAAATCTATAGTTATACATGTATTATGAAATTTAGATATAATTGATGTATGATTTGTTTCCGTGTTCCTCCTGCTTACCTTCACCAAACCAGAAGGAATAAATAATCTTCTGTGTGCTTTGTGCTTTTGGGTTGTGCTTTGTAGCTATCCTTCCTGTGTTGTGTCTTGTTTCAGTTTGAGTACCTATTCTTTTATTCTCAGTCTATTTCACTTGGTTCTGAGTTGTTCTTTGTATATATACTGCTGTTTGAATCTACTCTTATTTTTCAAGAAAGTTCCAAAAGGGGGCTTGAGATATATAGGGCATTTGCCTTGCATGCAGTCAACCATGATTGAGATCTCTGTTTTTTTTTTTTTTTTTTTTTTTGTTGTTGTTGTTCTTTGTCTTTTCTTTTCTTTTTTAATTGAACCACCATGAGCTACAGTTACAAAACTTTCATGTTTGAGTTTCAGGCATACAGTGATCAAACACCCATCCCTCCACCAGAGCACATTTTCAACCACCAATGTCCCCAGTATCCCTCCTCCTGCCCCCCTCCGCCTCACCCCTCCCCCTGCCTCTATGGCAGACACTTTCTCTTTTATTCTCCCTCTACTTATCGGTATTATGGTTTGCAATACAGATAATGAGAGTTTACAGTATACTGTATGTAGTTTGGTCCTTCATCTACTTTCAGCACACATCTCCCATTCCAAGCTATCCCTCCAACCATTATTGACTTAGTGATCGCGTCTCTCTTTCTGCTGCCTTCTCCACCAGCTCATAAGGCAGGCTTCCAACTGTGGAGCAGTATTCTTGGCCCTTGTCTCTGCTGTCCTTGGGTGTTAGGAGATCCCTGTTACCACATATGGTGCCCTGAGAACTGCCAGGGATCAGTTGAGCACAGAGCCAGGAATAGTAACTGAGTATCACCATATGAGTGCCCCTCAGATCCCCCTCAAACAAAAGAAAAAAATTAAAAGAAAGCATTAAGTGGAGCTCTGTGCTTACCAATAGAAACAGACATACGACTTTAAATGCAGGTCACACATATATTTTTAAGCTTTATTGTAATTGTAGGCTAGTTAAATAAGCAAGTTAAATTAATTCTAAGTATATTTTATTCATGTTAGTTTACCAGTGTACTTAATTGTTTTAGTATAGCAAAAAATATTTCCATTCAATCATTTAAAGTAACCATTATTTTCATGTTAAACATTTGAAATCCAGTGAGCATTTTAGACTTATGCATCTTGGACTTGCTGTTGTACAAGTGCTTATGGTCACAGTGCACTGGGGTGGATATATTTCTCACTTTCTCTTTCTTATGTGCTCAAGGCACACAGACATTATGGAATACATTTGTAGTCTTCAATTGTAATTCTGTGTCATCTTACTTCGATTTTATCTGCAGCTTATGGAACAAGATAAAGGTTATATTTCTTCTGTTTTTTTTTTTGTTTTTGTTTTTGTTTTTGTTTTTTCCCCCCTTTTGGTGGTGGGGATGGTTTGGGCAGTCTAGGTTCTGATCACCAAAAAATCCCTCATTTTCCATTTTCCTGACGTGGAGTTTCGTGGATTCTCTAATGTCAGTTGATACCACTCTGAGATCAGTTCTGTTAAAAGAGATGGAACATTGAGACTGGGAAGGAGAAGCAGTTTGTTTGTAAATGAGATGAGATCTTGGGTGTAGACTCTTTCCCCTACTCGCCAATTCATAGGATTTTGTGGAGTGTGGTAGTTAGCTTTTTTAAAGCCAAGAGTAATGTAATTTTATTTTCTTTCCTTGAACAGTTGTTAATTGCCAAACATCTCTAGAATTAAAGCAGGTCACCAAAATGATTGATCTCAGAGAAATAAAATTCTTTGGGGATGCATTGCCTTTTCTCACATTAGACAAAACAATAATCAGTGCCTCACAAGGCATCCACTGGATATGTTTTTGTCTCACAATAACTGTAGGCACCTCTAAGGTTTTAGTACTTTATGTTCTAATTTAATTTAAATGTTCCATATCTAGCATGGTGTTTTCCGAACAGGTCTTAGAAAATGTTTATGAAACAAATTAAAATGTACCTTGTAATTTAATCTAGTCATTCAGATTTGACTGGTTATGCATTTGCGATAGCACAGCGTTAGGGCCTTATGCTTGCAAATGGCCAACATGGTCGACCCGAGTTTGATTCCTCCGCCCCACTCAGAGAGCCTGGGACAAGCATCCGAGAGTATCTCGCCCCTTGGCAAAGCTTGGCAAGCTACCTGTGGCATATTCCATATGCCAAACACAGTAACAACAAGTCTCAAAAGGGTGACGTTACTGGGCCTGCTCGAGCAAATCAGTGAACATCGGGAGGACAGTGACAGTGACTAAAATAAGCAAACTTAAAAACTTTCTAAATTTCTGTTATCTTTCATTGCATATAACGATGTGTAGGATAATTATGCTCTACCTTTTTGTCTTTGAGTAAATTTTCACTGACTTTCTTTGAGTTTTTCCTGTTCCCTTTCTAAAGTAAAAAAATATAAATGTTCATTCTTCATTAGACATAATCTGAGCTTTGATTTGTTTGTTCTCCTCAGAAATGTCCCAGTGAGTTAGAAGTGGTCTTTGATTAGACAAGATACTGTGTGTCTCCTTTTCTCTGAAAATGTCTCAGGTTTAGAATTTTTAATGTGTGTGTGAGAGAGAGAGGGAGAGAGAGAGAGAGAGAGAGAGAGAGAGAGAGAGAGAGAGAGAGAGAGTTCTTAGTCTTTACTTTTTTTGTTTAAAAAAAACAGTACATCTTGTAAATAGAAATTTAGACCCTTGTAATAGGAAAAATAGACTTAGTTTGCAGTACCGGTCTCACTTTGAGTTTTGGGGCCACAGCTGGCAATACTTAGGTGTTATTCCAGGCTCTACACTCAGGGATCACTTCTGGCAAGCTCAGGGGACCATGTGTGGTGCCAGGGATTGAACCTGGGATGGCCATGTGCAAGGCAAGCTCTCTACCCACTTTTCTATTGTTCTGGCCCCAGTACCAGTCACTTGCACATGACTGTATCCTGATATTTTTCTCCTGTCATAGAATTTTAATCTTTTTATACTTCTCCTACTGATATACATAAGATTGTACAGTATATACTTTGCCTCCCAAATTAAGATTCCATAATATATGGAATAGCTCTGAAAGAGTAACATTTTTTTTAAAAATCAGTAGACAGTGCCAGTTTCTTATTTAGCATAACAGATCGTTAGTATATAACTACAAGTCATATTTTTCCTACAAAAAAAATTTCTCACCTTTCTGTATTGATAAAAGTTTAATTGACTGTATTTTACTATTATTAGTCTTTGACTAACCCTTTTCATTTTCTGTGGAATTTTAATGATCTCTTGACATGTTTTATCTGTAATTGTGATTTCTAGTGGTTACTTTCTTTCTTTCTTCTTTTGGGGTCATACCTGCTCAAGGGCTATGCCTATCTCTTTACTTGAGCAAGGGGCGTGTTGCTCTTGGCAGTGCTCTTACCATGCTGAGGGTTGAACTCAGGCCTT